AATGATTTCTAAATGATTTGCCCAAGGTCACACAGTCAGTCAGTGGAAGGACTAAGAACAATACCCAGGTCTTCTGACTCCCAGCTCAGTGCTTTCCACTACTGCCTAATACTATAAACAATGTTGGCTAGGAGACCTGCTAGTCTTTTCACCATGTGCCATCAATTGAATTTTGAGGGGCTGTGGACATGTGCAAGGGACCACATCACAATTAACAGATAGGGAGCAAGAAGGATGGAAAGGGAAGAGGAGCTAAGCAGGGGAGGGGGAAGATTACAGACCAGTCTAATGACACTGAGTCAGCACATTCCAACTGCCACATAATTATGGTTTTTTGTTTTTTAAATGTTTGGTGTAGAAGGTATGTTCTGCAGATAGGGCTGCATTACATATATCGTCCCTCCTCCCCCTACCAAAACCAGTCAGACTTGTGAAAGCTCACCCATTGTTAGATTTTAAAAAATTTATCATGCAGAGCCTGACCTTTCAGCATATAATTAAAAATTCAATGATGCAAACCTGAAGGATAAATGAAATACTAAATATAAATTATTTCCTTAATATACCAGTAAATTCTTTACAATGTTGAGATCAACAAAGCGCATCCCATTACTAAAGTTTTGATCCCAACTGGGTGTGCCAATAAATTCCATTAGTTGCCTGGTGAGCTAACATTTTGCCTTACAGAAAGATTTGTGGGTTGTTGTTTTTTTATGATAGCACTAGTCTTTGTGAAAGGATTTTTCCACCGTTCATTTCAGTGCCTCAGATCAAGACAGAATATGCATTTGCTGCATGGCTTCAATGCGGAAAAAAATATAAATGTTAGTAAGCAAGGTAATGCTTCAGAGGCTCTTTATTCATTTACTGCTGACTAATGGAACCTCCTGTCATCCAACCAATCCACTGAAGAACAATAGTTAACATTCATATAGTACTTCATGTTTTCAAAGCTCTGTACAAACCTTAACAAATTAAGCTTCAGTACATCCACATGAGGTAGGGAAGTGTTATCCCTATTTATACATGGGGAAACTGAGGCACAGAGAGGTTAAATTAACTTTCTCGAGGCCAGAGTAAGCAAGTAATCGAATCAGGATTAGAACTCAGAAGTTTCTTGGACCCAGGGCTGTGCTCAGTCCATTAATCCATGCAGCCTTTGGGACACAACATGCTAATCCAGCCACAGAGGAACATGCATAAATAAACCATGTGTAAAAGCTATCAGGCCACCTCTTGCAATGACAGAACAGAGCTGGTGTGTTTGTACAGTGTCAGCACAATGGGACCTGGTCTATGAGTACTATGGTAAGGCAACTCATCCAGCAACAAGATCCCCCTGTATCTTTGGGTCTTGGTGTCATAGAACTCTCTGAGCTGGGGCACCGGCTGGACATATACAATCCATAAACCCATTTATTATTTATAACACTTTATAATAAACTAATGTAGCTTGTTCTCCAGTAACAATAAGCTGTAGCACCTTGTTTGGATTTACATGAATGATCAGCTCTACTGCCCTCTGGTGACTCAGTCCTCAGAAGAATTCATCATCGTTTGTATAATAAATTTCTCTTGGTTTGTGTTCTATGGAAAGTAGCAAGAAAAGTTTTTTAAAACCCTTTTCCGGCTATGATTTAGAGAACTTCCTTAGGTACTGCGGCATCCAACACCCATTAATTTCATTGGGGGCTGAATATCTAAATCCCTAAAACCCAGTGGATATATCCAGTGCCACATGAATGCTGACCAGCACCACCCAGGCAATCAATGTTTAGCACTATTGCCAGATACAGCTCTGCCAAAGCACCTCATCACTGAGATGCAACAGCCCAGATATATCACTTCTGGGTCTCTCTTAACAGGAAAATCATGCCGAAATTAGCATGGTTTTGTTAATCCAGCACTATGGTAAGAAGAGAGCAAATCCATTTTCACCCATCTCATGAGACTGATAGAGGAGCGTCTCTCTAGAAGTGAATCGCCAAGCTGTCAAGTCCCATTGCTCCACCAAACCCCTATCACAGATGACATAAACATTAAAAATCAATTTGAAAGCTGGCCAAACTGTTATTAGACACCTTTATATAATTACTGATGTCGCCATAAAATACTGCCTGTCTACTATGCAAATTTTTAAGAGTGAATAGTTCTTCAAAGGAAATTACACCCACTAGCCCTTCAGATTAAAGTTAGTAATTTGCTATTAGGTGTCAAACTATCATTTAAAAGTATGTCATTCCAGCCTACTCCTATTGTCTAGTCTACTTCAATTTATTAGCACAAATGCACCACTTAAGATGTGTGAGCTCTATCCAATGCTATTCTCTACAGCAGGGAACTATATTCATGCTGTACCAACGGTTTTAATTTGTTTTTCTTCTTTGGCTTTTTAATACTCAGCCTTCTGCTACCAAGGAAGCATCATAATGCCCCTAATCTTTCATAGCTAGAGACCCGGGCTCAAATGTGGTTTAGTTCACAAGAGCAATGAATCTCAACCTGTGCCTGAATGTGTTTTTGCTCACATTACAAAATCACTGCACAACTTGACTCCACTAGTAGTCACTGTTCAGCAGAAACGAGGAATTAAGAGGAATTGGGCAGGTAATTAGGGCCCCCATTCAGCGAAGCATTGAACCACATGCTTAACATTAAGCATACGAGTAGTCCCATTGTTAAGTTAAGCATGTGCTTAACTGTTTCCTAAATAAGAACCTAGGGGGGAAATGTTCACAAGTTCCTACGTTATGGGAGCCAAAGTCCCATTTTCAAAAATAACGTAGGCACTTAGGAGCCTACGGTCTACACAGGGATACAAAAATTCATCCAAATCAACTAAAGGTATGAATTTAAAGTGGATTAATTAAACTGCATTTAGTCCCTTTGTGGACATTCTGATTCATAATTAAAGTGACCTCAAATCAGTTTAGCTCAATTCACTTCCAAAGTGAATTAAAATAAACAAAATTAAGGCCACTTTAATTCTAAATCAAAGCATTCACACAGGTATTTAATTCCATTTATCTAATCCACTTTAAATTCACACCTTTAGCGAATTCAGATTAACATTTCTAAACTCCACATGTAGACAAGCCCTAAGTCTCATTTTTGAAAATTTTATCCCAGATCAGGATTCGGGTTCATTGGAAGAACAACATGAAGAAAATTTGTACTGAACACATCTATCTCACTTCACACTGTGATAGCATCTCCCTGTCATCAGTCTTGTAACTGTGCCTGCAGCATTAGGAAAAGTCAACATATACTTAAACCACAAATGCAATTCAATCATTTGTCTTCACAATATTTTAAGCAAAAATAATATGCAATAGGATGCAATTTCACTCAAGTACATGCATTATGCATTGTGAAGACTGAGTACTCATCTTTGAATGACAAAAGAGAAAAGAAAATTCTCAGAGGAATGCACAATGCAGTAAAATATAAATCTGTAGATGGAGAGAGATAGCACCTACTCCATTATAAAACCTTTTTTTTTTTATAAAAACTAAAAGATTAATAGTGTCACTTCTGAAAAAATAAAAGGAGACATAGGTAGGAATGCAGAGATAGCCACACTTTTCCAGAAGTACAATGCAGTACAAGGACTGGATCCTGCTCCTGTTGGCACATTTCCCACTAACCAATGAGAATGGAGATGGAGTACCCATATAGCATGGAGAGTGGGTATGGTCGAGGGGAGAGGGCACTGGTATGGAATTCAGAAGTTATGGGTTCTATCCTTGATTCACCACTGTCCCCATGTAACCATGGGCAAGTCACTTCACCTCTCTGCCTGTTTCCTCTCACACTCTTTGCCTGTTTTTTCTGTTAGCTCTAATGTGTGCATATACAGTATCTAGAACAATGGGGCTCTGAACTCAGCTGGGGCCTCAAGGTGCTAATAACAACAATAAATCCTGAACATTGTTGACTTATTTTTATACAAGTCATCTCCTGCAAGACTGTTTCACTTTGTCCCGCCAACCAATGATACTGGGACAACCCTGTGACCTAACTGCCTTTGAAAAATCAAATCCCACATGGGACTCGACTGCTGTCACACTCCTTAGCAGTCAGAACATTCCACAGCCGTGGCTCAGAAGATGCACGTAAGCAGAACCACAACTCTCAACGTAAGTCGTTAAATTACTCTAAATGAAAGAAAATAACATCAAAGGGATGTGGCCTGGGGATTCTACCCTCCCTCCAGCTATAAGGCTGCTTCTCTGGCTGGCACATGCTGAAGGCATTAATGATGTTTTCTGTCTCTGAAGGCAGAGGACAAGGCTTGTACCATTTATGAGCCTCTGATAGTGCTTCTTGGTCCAGGACAAGTCTCGGGTACAGTTCAATAGAGGGAGGTTCTGCCTGGAGGGAACTACAGATTCACACAGGAAGGTAAACGGGCATCGCAAACGGACTGCAACTCAACCTGACTGGCAGCTCCTTGTTGTATTCTGCCTTAAGGAGGGCAGAGCTGCTGGAATATAATACCCGGGCCTAGGGTCATGTGAACAGAATAGGGAAACCTGAACTCAAATCTGTTCTTACAACATATACTAGATCTACATTAATATGCACACACATGCTTATTCTCATACATACATATGTGTACGTACACACACACACACACACACACACACACACACACACAGACAAAAAGAAAAACACCCTCATTATTAAATCAGTTGTCTGTAAACACTCAAGTTCTGTGCCAATTGCAGTCTTTACAGACACTGCCATGAACTCACCCAGGTGCAATATATACTATCGTTTACTTCAAGGGAGTGCACAAATGTAACTGAGGGCATAAACTGGCCCAGTTTATCAAACCAGTTCCCAAAAAGGGACCCTTTCTGCTCCAACTTCTTATTACCAGACACTAACAAACAAAGCAAACCTATCTGGAGCTCTATGATGTGCTTTGCTCAGCTTAGTTAGCTAGTCAGACAAGCACAACCCAATTTTGTATGTAAACGAAATCTGAAACTTACCTGTATGTTGCCAAAGTCCACATTCTCATAATGGAAATGTGCACACTCTGCCATCTTCGGGAAGTGGCCCTTGGTAAAGGATAACCTGAAGTACATCAAGAGCAACCCATAAGATGCACATCACTGAAACAACTGTCAGAATTGCGTGTCATGATGAAATGCAGCTAGACCATCTACATTTAAGCGCCTGACCAAGACAATCCATCATCCTGAAGCTAAGGGAACATACAGTGCTGCTTATTTTGATGCACTAAAGCAGTGAGGAAAGGGATTTGGTGAGGGAGGTAATCTAAACTGCGAAGTGACATTTATCATTGTCTTTTTAGGGAAACACGTGCATTCCATCACCACCAAGGCCAGTGTCTATAGGGAAGGATGCAGGGACAAGCTGTTCCACCTGTACTTGCATTGGGGAAATTAATCTGTAAACAGCCTGACACCAGAGACATATGAAAGTCAAACTTTACCTGTGAAAGGCATCACAGCCCATCAGTTCCGGGTTGATGGATCTGAGGGTGCCGAACAAATGCTATTTATCTTTTGGCTTTTTAAAATTCAGCGGTGAGGCATAATCATCTCCAAACATCCCCAACTACAGCAATGGCTGACAGGGAGATGCTCTGGTTCTGCAACAGGATCTTCCTTCTGCTGAAGCTGCTGCAGACTCCTATAGATACTTCTGGTCGTGAGCCAATGAGATTGTCTTTATCTGGCTCACTCTTCCCACGGGAATATAAGTGGGAAGTGAGATACAGCATCTAGCTGCTTAGCAATAGAACAAAGCCATTTTCCCTAACAGCATCAGAGCATGATAGCTCTGAACGCACAGACCAATGCTGGTAGCTCTGGACCGTCTGCCTGCACTTTAAATAGGGATGGGCCGAGTCATTTTTGCCTAATTTGGACCCCATTCACAGATCATTGGTTTGAATTCTGCTGAGGGAAGGCAAATGAGCATAAAAAGGGAACAGAACAAGGGCAGAGAGAAAAAACAGTTCAATGGAAAAAGTAGCGTGAACACAGCAGTGGGCAGGTACAGTGGAAAAAAGAAACTGAAAAACAGAGCAGGGACACAGAGAAAAATTCTAATGAAAAAAATAAAGGTCATCCACTTGTCCCAGTTTAGCTTTTCTTCTGTGTCAGGAGTATAGGGGAAGTATTACACTTATACCTTGTACAGGCTTCCCTTTAGCTGCCTTTTTTTTTTTTTTTAATGAATCATCTTGGGGGAGGGGAACCCCACAGTTTAAATTACAGCAAGAGTGAGATTCAAAATTCAAACTAGCTTTGCAACCCTTCTCCCCAAAAGTAAGTGTGAAAGGTTTACAAAACCTCCACCTCTATAAGCTTCATCCATCCCAAGCTTTAATATTTAGAGCATGCTGACCGGCAGTTTTGCTTTTCACAGGCAGCAGTTCCACGCTGCTCTGATAAGGAGACTACCAGAAATCCTTTAGTGCTTACAGCCTGGCTTCTGGATGCATTGGGGCTCTACTGCACTGTGACAGTCTTGAGCACAGCTAGAATCACAGAAGTTAGAGCACAGAGGACAGAAAAGCTACAGAATTAACTCACAAACAAAATAAACCCATTGCTCTTACTTTTTCACATTCTTCACTTTCATGCTCGCTGTGCTGCCGCACGTCCGAAGAGGCAGCTCCCCTGGAATCTCAGGGATGTCTGCACCTCTCGCCTACCAAAAAAAGAAAAAGAAAAAGAAAGGAGGAAAGAGAAACGTTAGATTTGATCGAACACTACACTTTGGTGCCTCCAACACTAGATAAATACATGCACTGTCTGTGCAGTTCTCACATATGTATGCAAGATATACTTTAGTAACTTGCCGCACAGAAATACTGAATCCAGGGATTCCAACCTAAAATATGGTTAGCTGCTTACATACAATAAAACCTTGCTAATTCTCACTAATTACTGGGAGAGCCAATGCATTATAGACCCAAAGAATAAGAGGGAAAAGGACACGATTTTCAAAACTAGCAGCCTAACTTTAGGCTTCCAAGACCACATTTAGGCTCCTAATTAAGCATCTTGACTTCCAACACCGCTGAAGCTGCTGGGTACGCAGCACTGTTGAAAATCAGGATAGCTACTTATGTGCCTAAATATGGAAGAATTTTTTGAAATATTTAAAAAAATCTGGGCCTAAGCAAACAAATATAATTAAAAAAAACAACCCGTGAATCAATAATAAAAGACACAATGAAAAGGCATCACAAAATTTACATCTGTGTTATTTTGTGGGTGGCAGAAGCTTTCAATTTATGTGGTGGTTTAACATTCATAGTCTTCTATCCATACCCATTCCAGACACTTAATTCTCCTACTCTGTCATCTAATGGCGTTTCAGTCCTGAAAAGAAAGAGTGAAATGTACATGTAATATTTTGCTCCACTCATGCGGATAAATGTGAGTTGTATCTGTGCCATTCAGTTCTCATCTTAGCCTCCCTCAAAAAATGTTAATATTATTTAAGACCTAAGTTACCTTGTAAGTTCTCGATATATCACATAGCTTACACTGGAATAATTAAGAGCTTCCTGAGTATATACATATAGGAATTAAAAATCATTTTGTTTTAACTGAGCTGTTTTCCATAATGGTTTGCCAATTTTACATGATTTCTAATACCGTTAAATGATCTTTTATACCCCAGACAGATCAAAAGGTATGTTTGTGGGTGGGATTTCTATTTAATTTATATTTCAGTAAGATACAAATGTACAGCACTGAGGTACAAAGTTGTTCACCTGGGGAAGAATTTCACCTTTATGTGCTGTGGCTTTGATTATCTGAAATATCTCAGGGTCAAAAACATTTAACCCACAGACCTGGTGCTCAGAAAGTCCTCCATAAGGATGTTCATTGGTCCAGAAATATACATAGGAAACAGGGCTGTGACATTCTATTTTGCTATTTGCAATAACTGTCCATACATTTTTAAATAGATTTTCTTCATATTTTAGTGTTAGATGCTAGACAGACATTAAGGAGTTCCAGTGAGGTCAGGAAAAACTGGAATTATTTTTAGTGTTACCAGAGAACCAAATTCTCTTTCAACCTTACATTCCCGTTTTCTTCTCTTGTTCTCTTTACATTTAACAGATAAAAATAAAATTAAAACATGTACCTGTCTATATCATTCTGTGTATTACTGTTTCATATTAACCTTTTTATTCTCACTATAGGGAAGCCTGTTTATGTACCAAGCCATGGGCAAATGGGTTACTGCAGCTTTAATTATACCTGTGTGTATATTTTTGTCCCCCTGTGATAGTTCTTGTATGCATTGCAATCTATCAAGAAGATAAATTCCCATCTTGGCTATTTAATAGAGATGGGTCCCTTTCTCAAAATCCAGATTGACTAGAAATATGCCATAATTCAGGAGGTGTGGCATCCACGGCTTTGGTGTAGCCCTAAGCCCTATCACTAGCTTTTAAAGCTTTAAAAATTATTTTTACTTCAGAAAAATCAATGAAGTGGCATAGACATACACAGCACCTTACAGCCCATTTAACATGTCCCTGCCCTGAGCAGCTTCCCATATAAATAAGGATGTAACAGAGTGATGGATGGCAATATACAACGCTAGGACTGGGGCTACAACAGCAAAAGGTCACGAGAAGCCCAATTTTCCTCCTCACTTGCAGCAGGCTAAATTGGGAGTATCTCCACTGAAGGCCATGGAAAAAATATATGTTTAAGTGTGAGGAGAATCAGGCCTGAGTGGTGCTCATTGTTACATACAGAATTTGCTATATATCTATATAAGAGAGGTACAATGGTCCACAGGTTAGGGCACCAGCCTAGGACTTGAGAAACTTGGGTTCAATTCCCTGCTCTGCTAGAGACTTCCGGTGTGACCTTGGACAAATCACTTAGCCTCTCTGTGCCTCAGGTTTCCATCTGTAAAATGGAGATAATAGCAATGCCCTACTTCAGAGGTGTTGTGAGGATAAACGCATTAAATACTGTGAGGCACTACAGTGATGAGGTCTACATAAGTACAAGCAGGGCCGGCTCCAGGCACCAGGCACCCAAGCTGGTGCTTGGGGCGGCACCTGGAGGGGGGCGGCGGCGCGGCGCTCCGGCCGCCGGGGAGAACGGGGCCACAGCAGGGCTCGCCGCCCTCCCCCCGGTGCTCTGGCTACCCTCCCCCTGGCCACCGGGGGGAGAGCGGCGAGCCCCTGCCGGGGCTCGCCGCCCTGCGCTCTGGCCGCCGGGGGGGAGAGCCGAGCCCCAGCCGGGGCTCGCTGCCCTGCCCCCGGCGCTCTGGCCGCCAGAGGGGGAGAGCCGAGCCCCAGCCGGGGCTCGCTGCCCTCCTCCCGGAGGCTTTTTCGCCTGGGGCAGCGAAAAAGCCAGAGCCGGCCCTGAGTACAAGCCAATGGGAGTGTTTCAATTTATTTGCATGGGTTTTAGGTTGGGCCCATAATGGGAGAGGGAGGGAACCAATTATGTCCAAGTCAGCAGAGAGGGCAAGGACAAAGCAATGATCCTTGGTCTTGGCTGGGAGCAGCTCATTAGTCACCATGGCAAGAGCAGTGGAGAGAGCACAGTGCGAATGCAGAGGTCAGATACAGTATTTCCTGCTTCACATACAAAACTATAAAACGGGAGTGGTGTCCAAAACAATGGATGGCATAGAGATGGTAATGCGGGCGCTTCAATTTACCTTCTCTCATAAGGCAAGAACAATGGGGACGCTGAGTGAAACCCATTCACCAATGTTGGGAGTAGATGGACCAGTGCTCTGCTCCGGAATGCCATTCTTATGTTCCTAAACATGTTCGCAGAGAGGTCTCTGACCAGAGCGGAACAGCTGCCAGAAGTTTAATAGAGAGTGTACACTGTGATTTACAAACACGGAAAAAGACATGGCCTTTGCCCCAAAAAGACCATTGTAATTCAAGGTAACAGCACACTATCTGGTATACGAAACTTGCAATGATCATACACGCATTTCAGAGGTACTCACCACCGAAACATATAGATGCCAAGACTCAGTTTCAGACAAATCTACACAATAACATTGGTGTTGCCATTACAGATCAGGTTAGGGGCCTACCCTTGCACAGTACCCTGCAGCTACCATTCGCCAACACCGGAAGCTTCAGAGAAAAGCAGGCAACCTCCATGAAGCACCTACCATCCATTACTTGGTTTCTTTTTTAAATAAGAGGTCTATGCAAAAAAGGATAAGGACTTTAAGCAACAGGGGTGAAATCCCTGAGGGCTTACGTAGGATTTAAGTAGCGTACGGGTTCTCTGCACAGAGTCAAATTCCACTCTAGTAGCATTAAGCACTGCCCTGAAAAGCGAAGGGTTACTGCAATTAAGAATGACGCCTCCTCCACCTTTGGGCACTATTGATTTAAACTGGAGCTGAGGACATTCAGCCCTTCTCATAATTGGGCTTTTGATAGCCTAAGCAATATTTTAACACCATTGTCTCACAAAGAGTCTATGTGTAAAACATCCAGTACACGTCGCCGAAAAACAAGTACAATATTTAATTCCTTAAATAAAGTGATCCCTGACCTATCTGCATTGATAGACAATTAATTTGGTCAATAGCATTAATAAAACACTTGAGGGTCTCATTGTGAATTCCAGTGTTAAGAAGACAGCCAATGCAATATATGTGATAGCGCTTTTACATAATACAATAACTAACTACAGCAATAAATGTGCCACTCCTGTGAGCATTTTTTAGGTAGAGCCTGAAATATATTGCCTGCCTTGATTTCCACGGAAAAAAACTTTTGTGGGACGAAAAATAATTTTCCATCTCCCATTTGCAGTAGAAGCTGGTGCCATGTGAAACCAGGTAAGTGAAACGGACAGGAAAAGATGTGCTCAGAGCCAAATAACAGCAGTAGATCAAGATCACCCTGTGTCGGACTCAAAGCAGAGTAGGCAAAGCGCACAGCACAGAACACTTCAGAGCCAGCATTTATCTTTGGAAAACTCATCTTGCTCTCTCCCTTCCCAACTGAATTATGTCCAAATCATACTGGAAAAAGATCCATGCCTCTCTCTATCTCATCGGTGTTTATTCATTTAGATGGTCCACAATGAGAGACAATATTTTTTTTCCAGTGTTAAAAATCAAGGGTTTGCTGCAGAAAAGCAATCCAGTGGGCTCACAGAGAAATCTTAAATCAGGAAGCATTAGTGGGATGATGGTTCTCATCCATGTCAGAAGTCACTACTGGAAGTACTGCCAGAAAAAAGAAAGTTTGGTTGATGGAAGAAGAAAAATGGAGATAAATAATAACACATACTTACTGCAATTATATAACTGTGTGCCTCACAAATAAATGCAATTACTTTCCATCCCAAACATGCACACATTGAAGTTCCCATTATCAGTTTACACTTGTTTTGCTCTGAAACCTTTCATGGAAATCGTCACCCTACATTATTTTTCTCTCCAAATATAAACAAAATCCACTACAAAGGAATTTGTCATCTTTTGTGCTCCTTGTCACAGTAATTTGTTTTTAAATATCATTTCGAAACAGCTGAATTATTTACATTTGAAAATTAGCTAGCGACCCGCTGCAGCTGCTACTTTTCATTTCTTATTTTTTATGCATCAGTGTCCTGTGGAAAACTAGTAACTGCATAATAAATCTGCTTATGCAAATTATTTACTCAATTCTCATGGCT